ACAGCAGGAAACCACATCTTGCGTATATTCATTTATCTATGAGCTTTCGGACATCAGTAACTGTGTCCATCATCAAAATCTGCATGTAAGAATACAAATTATCTAAACTAATATTGAATATATAATTACAAAGGCAAATAAGAAACAACAAAATGGAAATAATAGCAAACGCAAAACATATAAAACCAAGTTGATTACCAACATTATGACATAAAAAAGGAATATTGGGCTTACGTATTTTCTCCGTAGGTGTAGTGTGGAGTATGTGTCTATGTCATGTTGACATGACAGCAGTTTGCGGAGGTTTGAATGTCTGGATGTCCGTTGTGAGTGGGGGAGTGGGGGGGGGGGGGTGGGGTAAGGGAACCTGTGTAAATTACTTCAGTGTATATAGAGTAACTGAACTTTCATTGTTATTTAAGTCAGGTTTTATTTCTTTGATCAGTAGTGATTCTAAGATTCTTAAATCTATTATTTCTTGTGTTTTTCTCACTATTGAAAAGTCCTCGAATTTTACTTCATGATTTGTTTTGAGTGAATGATCCCGGATAAGTGAGTGCATGGGAGATGATAGCGGACGTAATGTCCGATAAGAGACTCCTTTGTGCTCGCAATATCTCATCTTTAGATTCCTTGATGTTGAACCTATATATCTAGCGTTACAGCTAGAACATTTGTATGAGTACACTATGTTTGAGCACAGATGTTTAGGAAAAGGGTCTTTTGTCGGAAAGAACGAACGAATTGTTCTGGAATTTGTGAAGATCATTCTGAAATTGATTTGTGAGAAATGGTTGCTTAGTAGTTTCTGTAGTTGTTTTCGTAAGACAAAGCTTGTGTGTCCATAATATGGTAGTTTAAGCTATCGGATATCCCGAGGCACATTGTAATTCATTGGTTTTGGACAGAGCATCTTATTTAAGAATAACCTTATTTGTTTTTGGATAACAGACATTGGAAATTTGTTTTTCAAAAAGAAGGTTTCTAAGAATTGTAGTTCTCTGTTAATGGAATGCCAGTCTGAACAAATATGAAAACATCTGTACAATAAAGTTCTGATAGCATTGATTTTAAACATCATGGGTAGAAAGGAAAATATTTTTAAAACCACTACTAAGTGAAGGTAGGTTTTCTGTACACGGAGGTTTTAAAGGTTTTATCGTCACGTTCAAGCCTGATATCCAAAAAAGACAATGAGTTGTTTACTTCGACTTCAGAGGTAAACTGTATGTTGACATGTTTTGAGTTGACATAATCTAAAAACATTTTTACATGTGAAACATCATTAAACAGTAGGAATACATCATCAACATATCTTTTATACATTACTGGGTTTAAAATGCGATGGGCAGTCTGCTAACCACTTACTCTCGTGATGGCATAAAAACGCGTTTGCGAGAGTTGGGCCTAGCGGGCTATCCATTGCTACACCATCAATTTGGGAGTACAATTGATTGTTGAACATGAAAATTGAATCTTCTACAGATAATTTTAACAATTTCTTGAATTGGTCTCTTGTAAGGTTATGCACATTATCAGTATTCTCAAATAATCTGTTTGTACAAATATCCATTGTTTCTTTCAAGGGTATGTTTGTAAATAAAGATTGTATGTCAAAACTAGTCATTATAACATTGTTTTCAAGACTAATTGTAGACATCTGCTTTGCAAAATCAAAAGAATTATGAACAGTGTATTCATTGGTAGTTATAGGCTTGAGAATTGGCACTAAGAATTTAGCTAGATTATAGTTAAATGTTTTTAAAACTGACAAGATAGGTCTGATCGGCACATCGGGTTTATAAATTTTTGGTAGTCCATATAACATTCCAGGTAAAGAGCCAGATGCTCTGAGTTGATTATATGTATCAGAGGAAATGGTGTCACTATCTTTCAAACATTTTAGCATTCTATTCAGTTTGTCCTCTAATTGAATGATTTTAGAAAAGGGCTCATTTCCTAACTTTTTAAATTTTGTAAGGTCTGATAGCAATATATTTACTTTAGTAACATATTCATTTCTCTCCAATATCACAACACCTTTTCCTTTGTCAGGTCTGGTTATTATGATGTTGGGGTCTTCCTTTAAAAATTTCAAAGCATTGTATTTGGCTTAGTGCCAATTCTCAAGCCTATAACTACCAATGAATACACTGTTCATAATTCTTTTGATTTTGCAAAGCAGATGTCTACAATTAGTCTTGAAAACAATGTTATAATGACTAGTTTTGACATACAATCTTTATTTACAAACATACCCTTGAAAGAAACAATGGATATTTGTACAAACAGATTATTTGAGAATACTGATAATGTGCATAACCTTACAAGAGACCAATTCAAGAAATTGTTAAAATTATCTGTAGAAGATTCAATTTTCATGTTCAACAATCAATTGTACTCCCAAATTGATGGTGTAGCAATGGTAGCCCGCTAGGCCCAACTCTCGCAAACGCGTTTTTATGCCATCACGAGAGTAAGTGGTTAGCAGACTGCCCAT